AACTTCAGCGCGCTATTGTATCTGAATTACTCTGCGTATGGACGAGACTTTTCACATTCGGAAAGATCATGCTTTTAGCTGTTCAATGATATCTTCTTCATGCCAAATGGATAAAAAAGGAGCAAATATACGAATCGGATAAAAAATGTTAGTCAGAATCGCATATTTTCACCGTTGAGAGTTGGGTCTAAAACCATTGAAAATGAACCCCCTTTGGTACTTAAGTTGACGAATTTCACTTTTTAAGTAAATAAACGACGCACATGCATATTCATAATTACACTGACCTGAAAGGTCAAGTGTCATAAATCACCAGTTTTCTGTGGGGTTCGTAGTTTTCGTCGTCTTGAAATGGAGTTTCCATCAGTGCATTGCAGGCTCAGTTTCCAGTGTGCCAGTCGTTCCAGTTTACTATACAGATCAATTTACAAGATGGCGGCCTTTTAATGAGTGACTATTTCAGTCTCAAACTATTTCTTCATTTGTCAACGAATTTTACCACTTTTTGTGTGGATTTTGGATTTATCCCACTCTGCACTTTCTTGGAAATTGACTTGGTGTTTTTTCGTGCAACCTCTCTGGAAATGCGATATCTGGATTGCCAAGTTTTTCAAATTTTATACCGTAAAAATACCGGTTAATACGGACTCACATAATTTAAACAATGTTGTCTGCGTTTATAGCGCATCGTATGCTGAGAGACTATGTGCATTTATGGATAACGTTTGTATTTGTGAGTAATACTTGTGTTTCATTGGGCATTACGAAAACATCTCCTGACGATCACGCCAGGCTTTTAGCATTTCATCGTTTCTCTGTAATATTGCTGGCTTTATCTAGAGTTGAGGCAACTGGTGGTGGACTGGAATGTAAAAGAGGATGAAAGTAAGGACACGAATCGCTCTTTTCACATTTCTTCTTCGACCGACAATCATTCTTGGAGTGTCCACGATTCAAACACGAGAAACACAGTCTTGCTTTCTTTGCTAGTTCTAGTCTTTCAGGAACTGATGTTTTCGCTAATACTGGGCATTCAATGACACAGTGCTCTTCTTCGCATACGTAACATTTCATTGGCGATCTATTTGAATCACGACCGGCAGCGTAGATGCCTCTTCTCGGTGGAGGATGGTCACTTCTTGGGGGTCTCGAATCTCTTTGTAGGTCGCCGAAATCAGGATTAAACTCTGCCTTTACTCTCTTTCTCACGTATTCACTTATGTGGCTGACTGTAGGTGTCTGACCTTTCTCACGAATGTCCGCCACGAAGACTTTCCACCTTTCAATCATGTGGTCTGGTAAGCGTGTGATGATCTTTCGTAAATTCTCGTTGGCGTTGATATCTGCTGTATATCCAATGCGTTTCATCGTGGCCATGCAATTGATAAGGTCGATCGAGAACTCTCGCAATTTCTTCCTGTCACTTCTACCGATTTTCTCTCCTTTGGTGACGTTGTTCACTAGCGCACGGGCAATTACGCTTGGTTGTCCAAATTGTTCTTTGATCATCTTCAAGGCAGTCGCATACATTACTCCTTTCGAACCTAATCCCGAAATTGCTCTTTCGCATCACCACTGACGTGCATTTTCAGCTGGATCATTCTCATATCATCGGTGAGGTGGGGTTTGTCATGGATATGTATTGGTCGTACGACTTCTCTCACGATTTGAAGTTTGAGACTGGTTTTCTGTTGAAAATCGTCCTAATTTGCCTTTTCCAATTATGGTGGTAAATGAGAACTTGCAAATTTGGCAATTACTGACTGCGTTGCTTGCTTTTTTGGAGTTAAAGCGCAACACATTTGTTTATATGTTCTGAATATTAAAGCACAGAAAACCCCGCAACATTTTAATGCGAGTTTGTTTGTTAATATTTGGGTGCTGTCACTGTTTCTTTTTTGACAATTGACGCGCGAATGGGGCGTGTTATGAAAATGGGCGTTTTACAAAATACCGGGTCTTGCTTGCAGGCCCACTATTCTTCCCTTGGGCCTGCACGCGGGCTAGTCTTTCGGTGAAGGGAGCATTTGTTCAAGTGTGTGTATAGGTTTCGTTGTTGCTTGGATGTTATAAGGCTTGAGGAGGCGTTTGAGAGGTTCTGTTAGGCCTTTGATGTATGGCAAAACCGCGTAACCAACTTTTGCACTGGGATTTCAAAAAACTCTCGAACAAGTTCTTCTGGTGATGGTGTTTTTTGTTGTCTCAAAGCACGTTTCTTTTCCACTTCTGTCAGGAACTTCTGTGGGTACCCATTAGCCGTCAACGCTTTAATAACATGCTCACGTTCTTGTTGTTTGCCTTCGACCGAGTTAGGAAGTGTTGCTGCCCGGCGCAAGAGAGTTTGTGCTGTGCTAATTTTATGTTGTTTATCGTGATGTGAGTTGAAATCTAAGTACTTGTCAGTGTGCGTAGGCTTACGGTAGACATTAGTGATGAGCGTCCCGTTGTTTCGAGAAACTAAAATGTCTAAGAATGAAAGTCGTCCGTCTTGTTCATGTTCTGTAGTAAAACTTATGTCTGGGTCAATGCATGTTTTTTAATGATCGAGAAAACATCATCAACATAGCGAAACCATTTCTTAGGTGGTATAATTGCTTGAGACAGAGCGAGTTCTTTTTTATTATTATTATTATTACAATATTGCCTGCTCCCAAAAGGGCTTTTCAGTAGGTAATTACAAATCATTTATATACTACAAACAATATATATATACAC